CGGCCGAACTGCGGCACATCACGCTATCGATATGTATAGATTTCCTTTCTTTTTAATAATGAAAGATTTATTAGATTCCGAACAAAGCAGGCGTATTTTCTCTACAAGAAACACGTTCGAAGAAACTGCACATGACATTTGGGAGAAAAAAGTCCGTGAATTCTCTTCTAAATGAAACACCAACTTAGTTCAAGACAATGCTGCTAAATGCGATATTCTTCGTTTTAACGGCATTAATTTAACCAATATCTAAGAAGAGCAGGCGAAATCATGATCATAGGTGCCTACTACAATGTAAATGGCAAAAATGAAGAAAATACTACACATTGAAGATTTTGAGATTTCTCAAATTTATTGCAAATCGTTTTTTTTTTTTGCTGAAGGAAGAAAGATTGCTTTGAATCCGAAGATCTTCCTAGCTTAACTGCGACGGATGAGCAAGCACGGGTCAGCCAGAAAATGTGGAATTTGCTACTGGTGCTAGGACCTCTTGTGATACTGGTGGTGGGACCTCTTGTGAGTTCGCGCGGGTAGGTACCACCACCCTGCCTATTTCTGCCGTGAAGCAGTAATTCGTTTCGGTTTGAAGGGCGGGGCAGCCGTTGTAACTATACTGAGACCTTACAACTGATATCTCAAGGTGGGTGGCGCATTTACGTTGTAGATGTCTATGGGCTTCAATAACCTTCTTAACACCAGGTGGGCTGTGAGCTCGTCCACCCATGAAAGCAATAAAAATAATAAAAAAACTACCTGAGAGCCTAACAGCCTTATAGTAGTTGTTTCGCTAGTGTATACATCTACAATCGCAACCCTTTATGAAGATATCACGAGAACCTGTGCGGGCCGATGTAGTGGACTAAAAAATGTCACATATCACTCCCTTGAGTCATTAGGGGATTTATGCAAGTTTGGTAAAATACCACCTCACTATGAAGGAACGGGTAAATCCGTTTACTCATTATTTGGTAGAGCCTATTGAGGACCAAGGCAGCGTGATCAGTGTCTGAACTAACGGGAAGTCGGTAGGTCATGGATCTATCCAGGGTCACTCTTAAACATAACTTACCTAGCTCAGACTATAGATTAGTCGGAGAGGTTGATAGGGAGGACAGTAAATTGCAATTACTTCATGTAGTAAACTGCTTTATCTAAATAAAAAGAAAAGCGTAATGGCTATCTATATATTTAGAAATTAATTGCTGTTCGTTAGTCTCGCTAAAACTCGAGAACGGCACTACCCATAATTATTTGTGGAAGTCCAGAGAAGGTTTAAAAGGTAGATAAATATGAAAATGCTCGGAATTAAAGTTTAGGTCTTTTGTTTATCGATTGAGGCACTACGAACTCTGCCGGGTCAGCCAGTATTATTATATGTATTGTATGTAACCAAATTGTAAGATAGGTACTGTAAAATAACACATAAAAACAAAAAATGTTTATGAATTAGAAATAATTACTCTTATATAAATTAGTTACAATATTATTATAACAAACTCAAATTAAAACAATAAGATTGTTTATTGTTTATCCGCGAATAGTGAAAACGAGAATGAAGGAAGCGCGAATAAGGAGTACTTACTGTATATTCAATAACAAGTTTAAAAACTGAACATTGCCCATACTTTTCATACCATGCAAACTGCGGACAAGCTTCTCCCTCCGCTCTTTTGATCTCTTAAGAGTAAGAATAAATTATTGTACCGACATCAACCATAGGTCGCCCGAGATAAATAAACCGCTGCAAGCATCAGTGGATTAATACAAACCAATTAGGTAACAAAATACAAATCAATTTGTACGTATTTATTTTTATAATTCGATAGTGCCTAAGATTAATCTATTAATACGTGAAGCAACAACTTTGTACCCCTTTTTACGAAAATGGCACGGATGGAGGAGTATGAAATTTCCCACATAGAGAATATAGAGAAGGAGTGCAGTGTTAATATTTTTTTTTAAAATGTGCATAAAAATACATACATTAAATCAAGAAAAAAAAGACATTACACACACTAACATATTTGATACTTCACACACGCATGCATACTATTTGTTTATTGTCAAACTTTTCAGTCTGTGTGCTTAGTGCGAGTTTTTTATCCTTCTCGATACATAGCGTAAAAGTTAACCCAATTTTGTATGCAGTTGGAACGGTGCCCCTAGCGGCAAACGTAGGCAAACGAACCTATCTTATTATATTATTTTCTTATACCTTCGGTTCGGTTCGATTTCGATTTCGGGGGCGATAAATCGATCTAACTACGATTTATTTTCAGAAAATGTTGTTTTATTCGTGTTTTCAATAATCAATTCTTCCCGACATGTATTGGCGAATAATAATACTATTTTTCTTAATTGAGGGCAACTAACCGCCTTAAAGACAAAACAAGATGGCGTTATCAAAAAAAAAAAAAACGAGCAAAGCTCGGTCATCATCTAGTTCCATACAAATAAGAGCTAGCTATCGAGAACGTTAAAAAACTCACACTAAGCACACTGTGGTCAAATTGAGAATAGATCAATATTGTTCGTCTTTCATATAGTCTAGGGCCTAGACACAGATTTCGCCTAGAGTCACTCTAGGCGAAATCTGTGAATACAGAAGTTTATTAGTGTACAAACATAACATTTCAATTCATTATAGTCGAATTTCGACTACCGGGGGACCACTAATATATACATATAAATAGACGACTATAGGTGTAAGAATAAGTAAATAATCTGGTGCTACTCATAGTTGTAAATTAATGTAACGTATATGTACAACGTATGAATTTGTATTTTTTTAATAAAAATTGTTCTATTAAATTTGTTTTTTGTTTTTATCAGAAATTATTATTTATTGTGTCCTGCGGAAAACTGAAGTTTTGAAATTATTAAAATGGAAACAATATATAAAAAATAAAATATATAAAAAACCAAATTAAACGCAAACTCGTGGTTTATCAACCTTTAAATATTTATGAGAACGCTTACACGGAGAAAGAGAAATGGTGCTAATTCGCTGGACAATACTTTTCTGTTTTTTCTTTCTTTTTTTCTCCTTCAATTTCCGGCGTTTGTTTTTTAATCCATAGGTGATTGAGCCACATCATGGAGCGACTGGTTTTAATTGGTTACCGGAATCTAGGGGGCCTCAAAGTGGTGGACATAAACGACAAGTGAATGTGGAGATCGACGAAGTCTAAAAATCAACCCCTATCAATCACTGCAAGTTCTTATTTGAAACTTTAAAAAATACAGCATAAGTTATTACGTGATTTTGTTCTATTCACTAATAACTTAAGGAGCTACCTCTTTAAGTTACGCACGAATGGGTAGGCACATGGCTTCAATCTGAGAGAATTTGCTAACACTAGTCTTAGCAAATGTAATGCTTCGCAGAATCTACCATCGATTGGAATCGCGACACACTGAGAAGATCCGGCGAGAAACTCAGTGGATTGTGTCTATGGGTTAGTTCGCTCAGCGAACTCTTCAGTTTAATCGACGAGTTAAACGAGGACTGGGAACGGTGCTTAATGAGCCTAACAGCACCAAGAGTGGATCCGGTGGATCCCATTCAATTCAACATCAAGTACGGACGTGCTGTTTCGAAAAATTGTCGCTGTCGTCGCGACCTTATTTTTCTCAAAACGTTGTCGCTGTATTCGCGACCTTGAGTCGAAAACGCACAATTCGTGTTTGATTTGTTTTTGCGAACGAAAACTTCACTAGCTGTCTTTCTCAAGACAAAAAACCCACTACGATCTGCTTGTTGTGGCGTGTCACAACTTAGTGGGTTCCCACCTTCCCGGACTACATCCCAATGCCTACGCAATGTCGTTATTTCATTTAATTTCATCCCAGTTGATTAATGTCTCAAATTAATCATCTTCATTTCACTCCATATTATCATTTTTCATCAAAATAAGCAATTATATTAAAATAAGACATGACTTAAAGGTCTTAGTTACCAGGTCATAAAATCCCTTAAAAAAAAAGCTTACACTTACGCCTTAAAGGCTTATTACACTTGGCTAAATTTAGTCGACTGAATTCAAAAGCAAATTTAGAAGCAAGTTGGAAGCTTCTGATTACACTGTTCTTAACTTCAGTTACTGAATCAATTGTCAGTATAAACGCGACGAAGTAGGACGTGTCGTGTGTGTGTGAATGGCCTCAGTATTATCTAAACAACAAAAAATTGGTCTAGGCGTAGCCCTCGCTGTCGGCTCAATTGAAATAAAAAAAAGAAAATGAAGAGTATGGGCGAAGAAATATATATTACTGCGCGGAAAGTTAGCAAATATGAACATTATGAGTGATTTAGAACCAGCAGACTTCAGAAATGATCTACGAATGGATTCGAGATAGTTTGACCAAATATTAAGCTTTGTGACACCATTTTTTTCAAAAGCAGGATACTATCCTACGATACTACTATAGTCTATTAAATATCTATATTATATAACTATAACATAACTAATCCTACGATAGTATAAGTCCAAAAGAAAGATTGGTTGTAACATTAAGATTTCTTGCAACAGGAAATTCGTATCAAGATTAAATTTTTAGTTCTTTATAATATCCCACCCCCTGCTGACAAAAATTATCCCTGAAACAAGTTGGGCTATTTATAAATGTTTGGCACATTAAATAAAGGTGACCGAAATAAATACTTTTTATTCGGAAGTAAAAAACAAACTAAGCCGTCCTTACGCACGAAGAGCTATGGGACGACTGAAATCATTAAGTAACTAAATGCGAGTACACCTTCCTAAATGCGTTTCTAATTAGGCTTCTAAATGATTTAGTCAGTCAGAAACCACCCTTGCTACTGAATTTAGTAGGCTAACTTACTGAATGTTATTACACCGACTAAATTTAGCCAAGTGTAATAAGCCATCTACACTTACCCATAAATAATAGATATTAAGTGTATAGTCCATAGATTATACACTTAATATAGTATAGTCTATGAATAATAGTTTATAATATTATGTGTTCTGTGCTATCGCTTATCTACTGAAAGTACACACTTTATTTACAATTAATTAATACATAAAGTGACAAGTCCTAAAACAATGAACCATGGTGAATGTAATGAAAGGTGTCCTCGTTGAATGGTATTTATTATTTTTATTTCTCACAAATATTACTTTTACATATGCAAACTTACAGATAAAGTTAGAATCGTTACAATGTGCTTTAATGATTTGAATTTTAAATTACATCAGTTAATCAATTTACTACGTACAATATATTAACTTGCCAAAGAATTTCTTCTTTGGTTTTTCCCATACTTAAATTTAATGTTCTGGGCCTAGGTTATGAGGAATGCCTTGTATATAAAACTTCATTCAATGTAATCCATATCTTTAGGTATGTTAAAATTTTCTTCTAGTGCATCAATATCTATTTGAAAACTATTTTTTATATAAGATTTCAATATATATACATTTTCTGTCCATCTGTTGCTGGCTGTTTTCAATTCCTACAAAATGAAACATTTTTAATCCAATATTATTATTTGATAATATTATAGTTATGCCTTTGGTTATACATACTACCACCTACAGAAAGCTATTTATCAAAACATTGTCTTTTTTTAAATGTACTTTATTTTCCTTATTTTTAAATAATGAATACAATGCTTAATTAATATATTGATAAGTTATATTGAGTAATATTACCCACCAAATAATAAAATATATATTTTCTAGCATGAAATAGACATGTTAGATTTAAAAGTCATTACCAGTTGTAAGCTCATACAGTGTTGTCATTCTGCCTACATCTGCCAAAAAAAATATACACATTCCAGTTTGATCAGTTCACTTGGCCTTTATGAAATATAATGGTAACTGATCTAATGTGTGCAATATTAAAGTGGGTAGCAGAAGTCACATTGTGATACCTATCAACTTCAGTAACTTACTTAACACTTCAGAAACACTAAATACTATACTACTATAGAAAGGCCATGAACTGATTCATCAATTACTAAATCCTTAAACTTGGGACATTGGCCTTATCTATTGCACTCACAGTGGGGCGCTAATATGAGCTTGAATGGAATATAGACCTAAAGACATCATCTCATCTATATTAATATAAGAATTGGATTTACAGTTATTTCACGTCTCAGTTGTGCAATATATTCAGGATCAGATTCTCTGTATTTTTGTAATTCTCTCTTATATGAAGCCTCTTGCTTTTGAAGATCTTCTAAAGATGATAATATTTTTATTCTTTCTTCAGATATCTCTCTGCCTTTCTAATATTAAAGTCAATTAATAAATATATCAGTCTCTGATAAATATAGAATAGAATTAAGTTTCATTATAACTCTATAGACTATACTATACTAAGTAAAAAACTATAAATATTCTGACCGATTCTGCTATAAGGACTTCCTCAGTTTTCTTTAACTTCTTCGTACATTCATCAAATTCATTCTGGAGTTCTTGTAGCTTCCTCTTCTTGGTACTTTTTGCTTTGCTACAAGTAATTTATTTAATGTTTGCATGGCATTACCACAGCTTGCTTGATTTGAAAAATAATTTTGCAGTCATAAATTTTTAAAAAGCACAATTGTTTACTCTAATTTCTCATAGCATCAGTGTGTAAAGTCCATGTAAATTTTATTATTCAAAATAATAAAACTAGTCTTAGTCAATGACTGACTCGGTGGTGCAAAAGTTGGCACCCCTGACTGCCGAAAGTTGTGGATTCGATTCCCATATTGGGCAAACATTTATTCATTCAGCTTTATTGCTTACATGAGTCCACCTGGTTTTACATGGTAACCGAAGCCCATAGACATTACAACATAAATGCTGCCACCTGCCTTGAGACAAGATTTCTAAGGTCTCATTTGTAACAGCATGATGACCCAACACCCTTCAAACCGAAATAAATAACTGCGTAATGGCAGAAATAGGCCATATTTGATGCCAGATGATAATGTACTGTTCTGTTCCCAGTTATTTAGTTAGTTGTTTAACATAGTACCTTGGGAAAGACCAAAAGTACACTGAAGTCCCAATTTTTTCAGAATCAACCAGGTGATCATCAATTAGACTCTGAATCACTTCTTTAACTGATTGCATTGTAATACCCTTTTCTTTTGGTGCTATTTTTTCTAGTTCCTGTAAAAGTTAAAATATAAAATATTATCTTCATAGATTTTGTTATGGCCACTTCTGTTTTATGTGCTGTCTAAACATTTTCTTTTGAACTAATTATTGACTATTTGGTGACTCAACTAACATAATCACCAACAAATAAGAAATTGGACTCTTACCAAGTAAGTCAAATGATGAGTAAACGTTCGTGAAAACTTCATTTATTATTACTTTGCTCTCAATTAATTAAAAAACGACCTTGCATTGCTAGTAAGTAAGAAACTCCAGACACTATTTCACACTGTCTCATTTATCCTAAATAAGAGATAATATATTTTATTGCTTAGTTGAGTGGAAGAGCTTAATACCCACCTGGTGTATGTGATTAAGTTACTGGAGTCAACAGACATCACAATGTATGTGCCACCCATCAGTATTATTAGATTTCATTAATTATTTATTGTGAAAGTCATTTATAAACATGTTTAATTACAAAGTTCATTACTAAAATTGGCACCTAACCGCTGGGTTTAAACATTGCTATAATAATACTGTTTAATATGAGTACACCTGGCTACTTATCGTTTAGGGCAGTGCCATCGAAAGCTGTGTATGAAGTTGTAATTTAATGAGGTTACCTTTAATTGAAAAAAATCTTGACTTTGATGGAATATTTCAAGCATTCTAGTCTTCTTTTCATCAGCACTAAGACCTCGTTTCTTGGACATTTTCAGTGATCCGGCAATGAAACAATTCTTACTACACTTGGATGAAACTCTTGCACTCGGTAGAAAGTTTATTCTTCAAGACCTGGATGAAACACACTTGTTCATATCAGCTGATATTGTGGAGACTCTACAAGCTCGCGTTGACGATTTAATGGACCAGCTCAGCATACCCGTGCACGATAAAGGATTATAAATTACGAGGTAAATATTCAAACATATTTGTATAATATATGGTGATAGAGATCCGCATTTGTGCGCGAATCGCGAAATTTTACTTCATCATCATCATCATCATCATCAGCCTTTATCTGCCCACTGCTGGACATAGGCCTTCCCCAATGCCTTCCACATAATGCTTTTTTTTTTTTTTTTTTATTAGGTTTATGTATGATTCGATTTTCAATTTTTATAGTTTTACTTCTTATTTAACCTATTTATCCTTATAGTCTTATTTGTAAATAAAAAATATTTATATTAAATAATATTTAAAAAAAGGACTAAACAACACGCTTTTATAGAAAATTCAACAAAAAAAATTAATATAAATTATTTATGTAAAAGCGTGGGGTGCGCGGTGTCAATAGTTCGAGATATTTTATTGATAGATATGAGTGGAATTTGATAATACCTAAAGCACCCAATGCTTTTTTTACAATAGATTTATTTATTGTATTGTACAGATGAAGCTAATATTATGAACGTAAGTTAATTACACAAAAACTAGTTGTTCCATAATTAACTATTATAAAAATATATTAAGGATGTCCTTTAATTATGATTAAGACATGTGTAAATTAATGTTAACTCAGAAAACAAGGCTGCCGGAAAATGTTTTAGCATAAAATACAGAAGAAGACTACTAATCAGTGCAAATATAAATTAGTGTTATAAAATCAAATTTAAATTTAAAAACATTTACATAATTCTATTTTTATGTGATCTGTAGTTGTATTGGTTTGCACAATGTTAGATCATTTAAGAATAACATAACAAAGAATGATGATGATGAATGTTTAGTTTTGTCTGTTGAAGATATTAAGTAATTAAAATCAGTCTCTGTTCAAAGCCTCAATGGATATAGTCAAGACTAGTCTAATCAGATTCATCATACTTATTTATCTATTGACACGTCAAATTGATAGATTAAGAAAGTGGGCCTATTGCAAAGTTGTGTTGTATTGTTCTATTATAAATCCTATTGTTGTTGTACTATCAAAGTTGTCTACAGCCTGCCTTAAATCTACACTATATTATATATTTTTCGATGAACTAAACAAAAGATACAAGAAAGATAAGAGAATCAATTAATATATTCTTGATTATAGTTGCTACATCAAAATGACCTCACGCGAATCTGGAAGAGTCAAAGATGCCGAGAGAAGAAAGGTTTTGGATGATGTGGCGAGAAAACGTCGAGCGAGAAAAGCAGTTGAGGCCCTAGAACAAGATAACTTTCATGAAGACCCACATGCAGATTTAGTTATGTCAAAGAAGGTAACATTGTTAAACTACGGAGCTTCATTCTTAATTATTTATTCAGGACGTCAATTCTGATACTCATTAAATTTATTAAATTTAAAGCCCTTAAGTCAGTAGACCAAAAATTGTCTTAATTAAATCATTTTTGTGATAGAATCTAGATTTACGGTATGCTGATGTAATGATAAATAAAAAAATTTATAATAATATAAATACTGAAATTGAAATGGTCAAATTATTACAGGTGCCGAAATTCGCAGACTCTAATGAGAAACCAACTAGGAAGAAGAAGTCTAAAAGCGCTGAATATTATAAGATGCGATTTCGGAAAACGTTTGCGCAGCTGGTAGAAGAGGATGCAAGTTTTAGATCAAAACCTCCTAACTACTTGTCCGCACAAGCGCCACCTTCTAAGTAAAAGCACTTGTTAAGTTATTGTTATTCACTTAGTTTTGGCATTCATGTATGTAAGGTTGTAGGTACAAGACGAAATTCGTGCCAATATGTAGGCAGCTTTGGAAATACTTGTACATAATATTATAAACTGTGGTTATGAGTGGTATTTTTTTTTTCTCTTCTTTGAACTGATCTTCTGCAAATCCTCTTGTTATAATGAAACAATTATTCGAACTGTCGAAGTTCATATTATAGTCGATGATGTGTTAACTTAAAATCTTTTCAAATATATCTCAATAAATTGATGTATGAATTAATAAAAATAAACTATGTATTATCGCCTGAACTATTGTAAAACTAAATAGATCGTTCGCTAAAATGGTGTAGTCTCTCAGAAATGATAAAATCCTAAGCATATTTTGGCGTATCATGAAATTAGTCTTGAAAAGTTAGATTGAAAAACTTTATATAACTGTAAAGGATTTCTAATATTTTATAATTTTAAATAATGGGAAATTTAATAAAATGCGACTTCATTTCAGATTTCCCGAGCGACATTTCTGTGCTGTTTGTGGGTTTCCATCGAATTACACATGTATACCATGTGGTGCTAGATATTGTAGTGTAAAGTGTCTCGGAACTCACTTGGATACGCGATGCCTCAAATGGACTGCTTAATTTCAAGAAACTAGCTTTACGTTAATATTGTGATAATTTACGTAATAAAATTTAATAAAACAATAGTTCTGTTGTTCAAAATACCCGCGTAAAACCTTTAACATTCTTTTTGAAGTTGACGAAATCTAACGCAAAGTATCAAACTCATACAACCGATTCAAAATAATTTATGAAAACTATTACTTTTTTGTTTTTAATTTTCATACAAAATTGTTTTCGATAGTTTAGATAGATTAATATATTAGAGATCTAGATATTAGATTAGATTAATAATTTGTTTAAAAGAATAGAAGAATTTATCTCACCTTGTTTCGAATTGCTAGAAGAACCACAAGTAGCGGCGAGGCTTTGGATATCATCTAATAAATTTTAATGATGATGCGTTTTTGAAGAATGCGAGGAGTGAAATCATAATGAACACGAATGTTTAAATACCTATACACTTTATTCATGTAATTCCTTCAGGGTTTAACGTTTATTAATGGTGAGTGTGGGAAAGTGTGGGAAAATGAAAAATTCGCTGACTTTTTCTTGATTCTTTCATTTGACTAAGACTAACTTTCTTTATTTCATTTAATTTAACTCAAATATCATCGTAAATCAACAATATTTCATTCCGCTCCGTATCATTTTTCATTTAACACAGCTTACAGCAGCAAAGGACTCGCAAAAAGTCATACCTACTGTTTTTTTTAGATCATATCGATTTTATTAAAGTTTTAACTATCTATGCATGGCGGTTTGTAAATTCCTGAAGTCTACGGTAGATCTTTTATTTTCGATGTTAGTGTAGAAAGATACCTATTATGTAAAAATTGGTTACCCACGTAATATTAATTAATATATTTTGGCAAGAATACTGTGCATATTACGATCACTGTACCTAATATTTACCCGTTCGGTAAAGCTAGAATAACCCATCAAGGTAACTAGCTTAGGTAAGCAAAAAAAGTAATGCTGGTCTGAGAAAAGAACGCCTCTCAGTATATTGGCTATGTGTCAACATTTTCTGTCTGTCGGGATTCTAAGTTTTCCTCATTTTAATATATACATCGAAAAAGCAAACTAAACTGAGTTAATATCGAAGTTGTTGAATTAAATCTTGTATCGTCCCGACAGTCTTTCTATTTGCACGTTTATAAATTCATGCAGACGACTTAAAGTCTGTGTGGCACGCGCTCGAATCTGAGGGACTCTATTGTCCCTTCTTTATTTCACGTGAAAATTGTGTTATTGGATCACTCGTAATTAACACCACATATGAAACTATAGGAGTTTTATTGTTACAGCGGCGTACACAGTTTTAAGTTATACACTAATATTTTTTTTGATCTAATGTATTTTCGGCGGTAAAAAATCTCTTGTCACAGACTATCTTGTTTTTTCCACCTCTCGTGTGTTCCGGCTTACGCATCATAAAAAAGGTGTGTTCTTAAACGCCATAAATACAATCGGAACTCTTACGAAAAATTTATAATTTTCGTTGACGTTGCCATGGTTACGAAGTTGTTGATGTATATCAATGATATACCCCGGTCTCCGGAGACCCATCTGGCGCTCTTCGCCGATGACACCGCCATCTACTACTCGTGTAGGAAGAAGGCGTTGCTTCATCGGCGACTTCAGACCCCAGCTACCACCATGGGACAGTGGTTCCGGAAGTGGCGCATCGACATCAACCCCACGAAAAGCACAGCGGTGCTCTTCAAAAGGGGTCGCCCTCCGAACACCACGTTGAGCATCCTTCTCCCGACTAGGCGCGTCGACACCTCCGCCTCCGCCATTCGCCCAATCACGATGTTCGACCAGCCCATACCGTGGGCCCCGAAGGTCAAATATTTAGGCGTCACCCTCGACAGAAGGATGACTTTCCGCCCCCATATTAAGACGGTACGCGACCGTGCCACCTTCATTCTAGGACGTCTCTACCCGATGATATGCAGGCGAAGTAAAATGTCCCTTAGAAATAAGGTGACACTCTACAAATCTTGCATACGCCCCGTCATGACCTATGCAAGTGTAGTGTTCGCTCACGCGGCCCGCACTCACTTAGATTTCTTCCAAATTATTCAATCCCGTTTTTGCAGGATAGCCGTCGGAGCCCCGTGGTTCGTCAGGAACGTCGACCTCCATGACGACCTCCATCAGTAAGTATTTACAGTCGGCGTCGATACGCCACTTCGATAAAGCGGCACGACACGAGAACCCTCTCATCGTGGCCGCCGGTAACTACATTCCCGATCCCGCGGACAGAATGGAAAGCAGTCGACGTCGCCCAAAACACGTCATCTCGGATCCTCCCGATCCACTAACGGTGCTTTTAGGTACTAGCACCGGTCACCATTCTCGTCGAACCCGTCGCTTGCGACGAAGGGCTCGACTAGTAAATTAACTCTCAGACACAGCCCACTGAGTTTCTCGCCGGATCTTCTCAGTAGGCCGCGATTCCGATCCGGTGATAGATTCTGCGAAGCACGACTCTTGCTAGGGTTCGTGTTAGCATCGTCGTCAGGTTTGTGCCCCGTGAGCTCACCTACTAGTTACGGTTACGCTGGAGTAGCCTCTCTAGGGTACCAGCTTAGGTTTAAAAAAAATTGTTTTATTGCATAAGTGTGTGCGAGCTCACGGCCCACCTGGTGTTAAGTACCATAGACATCAAAGTAAATGCCGTTACCCATCTAGATATATGTGTTCTAAAGTATAATTATTACGGCTGCTTCACCCTTCAAACCGTAACGCATTACTGCTTCACGGCAGAAATAGGCAGGGTGGTGGTACCTACCCGTGCGGCCTCACGAGAGGTCCCCCCATAGATACAGCCCACTGAGTTTCTCGTAGGATCTTCCCCGTGGGTCGCGATTCCGGTGGTAGATCCTGCGAAGCACTGCTCTTCGTAGGGCCAGTGTTAGCAACACCTCCGGTTTGAGCCCCGAGAGCTCACCAACACGCTAGGGTAACGCTGATATAGCCTCTCAAGGCTATCAGCATAGGTAGGAAAAAAAGAAAAAAAAGAGGTCCTACCACCAGTAAAGTCTCATTTGATTGACTGTCATACAGCAACAACATAAATAGGCAGTACAATGTTATTTGTGGCCTCACAATTATTACTAAATTGGACTTTTTGGCGGGAACGCGAGAAGTGAAGTTGTGTGATTTGTTTTATTTTGTGTTTCTTCAGGTTTAAATGTGTAATGACGGTGGTTTATTGACTGTTTAATATCTGTGAAAATGCACAAATGTGGGAAAATGAAACAAAGCCGCTGGACGTAACTTCTCGGGATCCTCCAAAAAGACCACTGAAAAAAATTTCAATAAGTGACCACCATTTTACTGAGATTAGGTATATTTCATCACATATCATCTCATTTTATTTATTTTCATCCCAGTTGATTAATGCCTCAAATTAATCATCTTCATTTCATTTCATTTCACTCAATTATTATCATTTTTCATAAACGAATATAAATTAAAATAAGACATGACTTAAAGGTCTTCGTAACCAGGTCAAAAATCCCTTAAAAAAAATTACTAAATTGAGCGGCGGTTGCGTTCAAGCTACACACGCGTCTGTCTACAAACATCAGCAGATAATACATATCCTATCCAAAGAAACTGTCGGAACAGCAGTCACCATATTGATTCTTTAGCGCGTGCCCTTATCACCGACCCCCCGACAGCTGTGTGATAACAGACCCCATTATCACAAGCAGATGTAGGTTTTCATAATCGCTTCCTATTCGAAGACAAACAATATTGAATTTTTCGCACAAGAAATCTTAGTATACTGTGAGAAATCCGCTGAAATCTTACAATTTATAACCAAAGGTTTTGGATATTGGTTTAACGTTATCCGAATAAGGTTTACAACTATTCCGATAATATTCAGGATAATTTTATTGTCGGTATCAATATAATTTCGTTGTTTAATATACTTAGAAAACTTACTTTTTTATTACATTCAGGGTAAAAAGCAATATACAAACCCTTCAAACTGCAACAAAACTATTTCGCGTCAGAAATAGGAGGTAGGTACCTTTTGAAGTCGTTGTGGCCTAAAGGATAAGACGTCCGGTGCATTCGTATCTAGTGATGCATCAGTGTTCGAATCCCGCTAGCAAGTACCAATTTTTCTAATGATTGCGTAATTACTGGTGGTAGGACCTCTTGTGAGTCCGCACTGGTAGGCACCACCATTTCTGCCGTAAAGCAGTAATACGTTTCGGTTTGAAGGGCGGGGCAGCCGTTGTAACTATACTGACCTTAGAACTTATATCTCTCTTATTTAGCCACTAGACTTCGGGAACTATCCGCCTAAACTTGATAATTTTGTTCTATGTTAATGGTGTTAATAATATATTTTGATTACACGTCAATAGTTAAATAAAATGTTAATGAAACAACAAAATACTCATGTAATATTTTCTCATTTATTTCATTTCTTTCGTCCTTTAATTGAAGCAACTCTAATAAATCATTGCAAAAATGTTTTACCGCTGAGTACCTAACTCTCAAAGCACATGGGCTCTTTTCATTTCAAACAAATAAAGTAGGTGGACAGCTCAGATTTAACTCAAACCAAAATAATACTTAAGCCAATATTTCTCAAAATAATATCATGTGCGTGAAATTTAATTCTCATAACTTTTCTTTCATTTTCTGCATAAATAGTATCATTTCGCGATTTCGTGTAATTGCTGGTCACAATATAATTTTTACTTGATTTTGATACATTAAAATTGCATCTGCGTGCTACAATTTGAATGAGATTTGGAAAACAAATTGGCAACGATTCACTAAAGTCACTCTTCTAACTTATTGTAATAATATATTCACAGGTATATCACAATGTGTTCTCAAGGCAATTAACAGACCCAAGCACCAATTAGGTTTCATTGTTTCTAGGGTTCCGCACATAAATTTCTTCACAACCGGTTCCGGAGAGGCTTGTTTTACAAATATGTCTTTTACATAATTTTTCGTGATCCTAAACAATGTTTAATATTCATACTATTGAGGACATGAGTGGATGAAGCGCTTAAGTAACATTTTTAAGATTTTTGAGTTTTTACATTGAATGAAGATATTATGTGCCTATAAACCATACTAGACCTTAATACACTAAATTTAAAGGCAATTTTTAGAAATGCATGTGATGAAGGATTTATGTACGAAAAAAAAGTACAAATAAAAGTTTGTTCCCCGCTTTCTCAAAATTAACAAATTGTATCATATCCCCTTCATCCACCCAGGTTTTTTATTTTATTTTTTATTTTTAAATAAAACTCAATTAGCTAGAATAATTTAGAAGTATCCCAAATAGTATTTTTACGTGATAATCAAGCTTGTGGAGAGTATTAAGCGGTAGGCAGCGACTTGGCTCTGCCCCTGGCATTGCTGAAGTCCATGGGCGACAGTAACCACTCACCATCAGGGCCGTATGCTCGTCTGCCTACAAGGGCAATAAAAAAAATCGCATCGCAAGCTTCCGGAACATGACAAAGCCATTGTATTCAATGTTTAAATATAGTAATCGACACGTGCGTAAAAGTTACTTGTATTATAATTTGGCTGGTGTAATGACATCGATGACCAGTTACAAAAAAATTACAATAATGAGAGCCTTCTCGTTCATAACACATACCTTACAAAATATTACAAATACTAACTACCCTCTAACTATTTACACAAATGCAATAACAATCTCCCTTAATTATTTTCTTAATATTAGTGACTCATTTTTGATAAATATACATATATTAGTTTTAAAGCCACATACATGGTGTTTTAATTTTTACATCACTCTGTTTCACCCTTATGCTTAATACTGGGTCGAAGGAATGGTTAACATGGTTTCGGATAGGATTCTCGGTAATTTTAACGGCAAACATGCCATTTTGTCTTTTTTTCAGTCAAAGATACTGCTATTGGCTTCTTTTTTTTATTTTTCAAGGTCAGAATGGCACAGATGTGTTGCAAACAATAACAAAAAATCTTATTTTAATTTACTACCAATGACGAAAAATTTTGACATCGCCATTTTAAATATTAGAGAGATCTCCTGTTTCCAAGGAACTTTTCAATACGCAGTAAGTTTGCACGACATCTTCAAGGACATCTCAAAATGATCAGTCATAATAATAGTAACAAATGAGATTCGATTTACGGACGCATCTCGCGCTGCCCGCACAAACCAATTTAGCTGTTTTATATATAAGTAATTCTTAATCAGTAACAGGAATATTTTTAGATAACATAAAGATATATGTTTTTAATGGCAATAAGTTTCAAAGCGCATGCCGATGTCAAAGACTCCTACAGATTTACTATTTAAGAGTGAAGCTCATAACACTAAATCATTATGAATGTATCAACAACCTAATTTAATAGGTATTTAAAATTTTGTATTCAACATTATTGTCATAAAATTGTACCAGTTATAATTTTGTATAGGCCACTTGGGACGGTATATTTAATCAATAGTTTTACAAATTCGTATTACGCTTTACAAAGAACAAAGTACATCGTTCTAAAAGACAAATGTTTTTCAATTTTCATTGGTAAATGATCTGCCTTTTTGTCTTGTAATGGAATTTAGAATACATAAAACAATATCAAAAATCCCGAAGGATTTTCACTGAACAAAAATCACGAACACCGAAGTAAGGTTCAAGTGATTTTCGTTCAAGATTCATCCTTCTTTTTTCTTAATTTTCCTTCAGTGTGTATCGTGTGTGTCACGTTATCCACTGCGTTGTTGAGGTCACTGTCCGGCTCGATGACTGCGGAAAGTGCCGCAATGTACGCGCACGCTATCCTTAAAACCGAAAGCTTCGATAGCTTTTGGTTATGGCTGTAGGCGGGAACGGAACGCCTTAGCGTGTCGAACGCCGCACTTATGGTATGGACCCTCGTCCTTTCCCTGGCATTGGCTTCTATCCGTCTCTCGCGGGTCATGTTCTTGTAATTCCTTTGCTCCCTGGGTTTTGATTTTTCAGGGTACTCCATTACTCCCGGATGAGGGGGCACTCTTGGAAGTCCTTGCGGTTCGGGCGGCGGGGGAATAGGCGGTACGGGGGGCGGAGGGGGATCTAACGGTCTCCTCCTTTGCCTCAAAAGACTAGTTTCACCGCTTTTCTTGACTAAAGACAAAGGCTCTCTCTGCGGTTCTTCGGTGAAAGACCACGGCCGAAACGGGTTCTGCGAGTCACTGTCGGGGCTGGCCACGTCATCACTGGAACTGAGGCGTATTCGTTTCTTTGGAGGCTGGAGTCGGCTGGGTGTCCGCTCCCGCTTGTTCCGGGTCTCAGACTCCACCAGCCGAACTCCGGAGTCATCTGAGTGCGCAGGTCCCGAGCATGAATCGTCGTCCTCACCACCCGAAACAAAACCAGCGTCTCTTTCTAACATACGATCTGAAATGAAACAGAAAACATGTTATAATTTACATTTGAAAACGATTAGGTACTGACTACTGTATTGTAATGGGTGACACTAGTCATATATGTATAGGCAGTAATGTATTTCGAACAAATTCAAGAAATTGTAAAGAAATTATTTGTTACAGCAAATCTTTAGTGACCATTCGAAAATAAAATAATAAAAAATACATTTCGACGAGAACATGAATATTAAACGCCACTTCCACATATTTGGAATAGCAAACACGAATCTCCATAGAAACAGATCAGAATTGAGAAACATTTCCTACGTTTTTATTATCATTTTATGTTGAAACCGTCCGAATTCCGAACACCGGAATTGTTGTTCTCCTATTTGGTGAATACCTGATCATTTTTGGCTAACACGAATTAAAAATATACATTTTAAATGTTTGTGTTCTTATATATTCTGTCGATCTTTGCTTGTGTGTCACTTGGCGCCGGCGCTCGCGAGCTTACGTCACCATAGGTACAGACGTTATAGTCATTAAATGATAAACATATAAACGAGATTTCTCAAGTCAATAAAATACCATAACTATTAGTAATCTATTAAGTGGTGGTAGGACCTTTTGTGAGTCCGCACGGGTAGGTACCACCACCCTGCCTATTTCGGCCGTGAAGCAGTAATGCGTTTCGGTTTGAAGGGTGGGGCAGCCGTTGTAACTATATTGAGGCCTTAGAACTTTTATATCTCTTATTTAGCCACTAGACCTCGGAAACTATCCGCCTAAGCTTGATGATTTTGTTCAAGTTTAATAGTAGTAAGTTCATTAATCTGACTTTAGCGCTCCGAAATGGGCTAATCCTAAACCATTTAGACTTAAGCAAAAGCCTCAAAAAGAAAACAAAATTTGATTGGATTTGATTTGATTGGTTTAATTGAGAAGGTCCGTTTGTAAATTAAAATTATTATACTAAAGCATCATTAAATCTAAAACGACATCGCGATGATTATTGAGAAAAACATCAATTTGACACTTGTAAGATTTTTTCGAAATCGTTGTTTAAAAAATATATCTTAAGACTCATCTCGAGGTTTGAATGTCGCGTACACCGTACAATCTCGTGGCATGCACATATGTATCTATAAGCGCCCAACCGGTTCCACATATGGTCAGGCCGGCTCTGATTGTTATTTAATCATATCATTTTACGCGCCGATAGTCCGCATTCCTGCACCAAAACTATATAAACTATTGAATGATTCTGACTTCGTTTGAAATAAGCGTATTTGTTTTTATTTAGCACACACAAAAAGTTGAGACTAATACGAAGGTACCTACTACAGAGTTCACATAAAAATCTCGACAAGGAATGTTTAAAAATGACGTATGGAAGAAACAAAGTAGCATCAGTCTCACACGTCTTTATGGATGCATCAGATCCAATAACTCTTGCATTAGACGCCTTCAGGGAGTTCGGCGTGCAACCTAACCCATGCATCAGCCCCTTCGATCAACAAGATCAGCCCGCTGAGTTTCTCGCCGGATCTTCTGAGCAGGTCGCGATTCCGATTAATAGGTTCATTCGCGAAGCAGCTGCACTTGAGTTGTTAGGTATCCTTTGGAGGCTCTCGGGCAACTGTTAGCAAATCCCATCCCTCCTGGCTGAGCTTTTGCTCGTTCACCTGTCCAGGTGATACTGGAAAGCCCTCCGGGTCACCAGTAATCGTTCAATCATAAAAAAAGCATCAGTCTCATTTTACCTTACCCAAATTCTTTCTACCCGCGATCTTTACTGCGATAGGCCGTACTCTTAAGCCAACATCTGCTACATATTTCAACAAGGAATCGGTTGTAAATTTTTGTCTCCGAGGTACTATTAAAATTCACCTCATAGCCCAGTTCGTTCAATTCGATTTAGATCGAGATAGCTATCGATTCGATAGAGTTTTTAAAAGTAAATTAACTATTAAATAGTGTGTGTGTGTGTGTGTTCGACCTTAAGTTTCCTGTGGAGCTTAGAGCGATGTTCATCATTATTAAAGGCATCAAACAGCCCAGCGGCTTTAGATACAAACAAAAATACTTCAGACGCGTGACAAACGTATTCCAACACAGTTCTATAGCATGTATAAATATATTTTTTTACAATGGATCCAGCTAAGCGTCGGTTTTCCCCAACTAAAAACTGCCGGTATAGAGTTCCATGTTTTTATTAACATTTCACGGACATACGGATGTGTTCGTGTTTAATATGTTTGTTGTGCAATTATACGTTAAAAATATTTCTAGTGATCGAGAATGTTATTTTATTTCCATCAACAGATCTAGAATAATTAAGGCTCTTTTATTTCGACATAAACCATGATTATCACACCACTGAACCATAATATATAATACGCAATATGTTTATTTACCATTCCCCTTCATTACATGCCTAAATCATATCAAAATTAATCAAACTTTTGCACACACGCCATTTTGCAATGCCTTTGTATCGGCAATACTTGCCACCCTAAAAAAAGTCACAGTAAACATTGCACAATCAAAAATTTTCTGCACCAAATTCATTTATTTCTTAGAATTCGATAATGTTTTCGGTGAAGATCTAAAAAGATAACAGCCACATCCGTAGACATGAACATAATCGTACTTTCTTAATGGGTGAGCTACTGGAATTAGTTTATGGCTCATAATCGGACCACGGCGCCGCGGAGGCGTTCCAACAAAAACGCCAATACCACGTTACCGATAACCGGCCCGAAAACAAACAAAACTATACTTTAACGTAATGGAATAAGGATGTACATTACGTGTTCGGTTGAATTTAGTTTGTCTTCGATCCAATGGGCTTTTATGAAGCAAGCTTCTCACACTACAGGTGTTTTTATACCTACAAAACGATAGAAAAGTGCTAAGACAGCCCTGCCCGCCTACACCTGATTGAAGTTTTAATTGCTCGGGACCTATTGAGATAAAAAAAAAAGATTTGTTTTGAGTTCCGTAACTAAATTGCGAGGAATGCTATTTATAAGTTTCTAAAATATGTAGTCTTGATACTCCATCTAACTAAGGGTTAAAAGAAATAACTGGTACTTATGAATGTGAATATATTATTATATTGTTACGTGCAATCTAGTTCAGTTGAAAATAAGTGGCCATTAGTGGTTTCAAATTGTAATATTTTTACACATCAAAAATAAAACACTGACCGTTAAAAAGAACAATGAAATGCATTCATTTGGTGCGTATTATTTACCTACCTAAAGTGTTAAAAGAGGTGTTAACTCAAAGGTTCCGCCATCAGCCCTCACAAACGTTGAATAAGTCGATCTCAGCATGAGATAAACCCTTCTCAGATTCCCTTCGCATTGATCGCGATAACAAACTGGCGCCAAATTTCACAGAAATCGAAGGCATAGTTAACGTAGCACCTATAGTAATGTAGACCTTACGTAAGTTGTTCTTTATCATCTTGGGATTACGAATATTTTTTTTATATTAAAATTACACAACAAACGAGCTGTCATAGCCCCAAAATATGAGATCGAAGACTTATTTAAATTGGAATATTTTCTATGTACGCAATTACGGTATGTACGGTGGTATCAACCCACAGAACACCCTCGCAAAACAGCTTAGCAAACTCAAATCTGTAGAACTTCGTATGAATTTAATATAGGAAAGAACTCGGATCACTATGGCCGCAAGTGCATCAAGATTAGATTAGATTTCGTCATTTATTTAATGTACTTTTAGTACTGAGTTCAAAGATCACATTAATTGTAAACTAAGATTACTTTTGTAATATTTTTCACATAACAAAAACCGGTGTTTAATATAAAGTTAACAACAAAAATTTCTTACATATTATCAAGAATGCTATTTTCAATTTAAATTATAGATAGGTTTGTTTGTTTAAAGTCTAAATTTTTCAATCGAAGTTGGGACTTAAATTTTTTTGGAAGCCTGATTTGATGAGACCGGTTATTACCGGAATTTCTTGGTACGATAATATCGTTCTGAAATGAGTTTATGATGACCGTTGTCGGTGTAAAAATTCAGACGGTAAAGTCGCATAGCATTCGCACGGTCCGTTCGACATTTAATGTATGAGAAGTCGTGATGTTTGACTTTCACCGAATACACATTAACCAATATGGCGCCGTCTTGGTGCTGTATCGATACGTTTAATGTAGTTTTATAAATGATTGATTAATTACTGAGACTTAAATATAATGTGTTATTTCATTATTAAATATATAAAACTTTTTTGTGTATTTAGTCCCATGATCCGTTTTGAAAATTACTTTTTAAAATCAAAATTCGATCTTGTTTAATATGTTTAATCTGTGCAAAGTCAATACAATAAAATGACAATTGACCACCATTTTACTGAGATTATATTTCATCCCATATTATCTCATCTCATTACATTTAATTTCATCCCAGTTGATTAATGTCTCAAATTAATCATCTTTATTTCATTTCATTTTATTTCACTCCACATGATAATTTTTCATAAAAATAAGAATATAAATTAACATGAGACATGACCTAAAGGTCTTAGTTACCAGGTCATAAAACCCCTTAAAAATAATAATAAAATCACAATTGAAAAGGAATTAATGAACAAATCGAAACAACAAGTAAGTAAGTAATTATTCGTCCATGATCATGAAAAAAGTATTCGAAACGCCGGAAATAATATCGAGGTATGAAAGACGAAATTTTTACAACTTTACAGAAGTGTCATTTAAGTTTAAAATTTAGAAAGAATGTTATAACAATAAAGTTAATCTTATTGAAGTTCAATTAAAAACATCGAACTGTTGATGCTATTATCAAATAAAACGCACTTTTAATTACAAAGATAAATGTCGTCTGAACTAAATACCCCTCGATATAACGACAACTACAACAAAACGTGAGATTCAACCGTAAAAGTAGATTTAATTACAACGTAACTGCACTCAATGCTGATCAGCATTGTAATGAGAATTGGCTCAACGTGATCCAAGACCCCGT